TTAAACATATATTGTTCAACTGATGTTATTATTTAAAATTAAATATTACTGATTAGTTCTCATAAGTAGTTCGTTGCTTTGAATATGAAATATTCATTATTATAAACTTGTTCACTGTTGTTCATTTAGCTCAACTTTTATAGGCTTTAGTTCTTCAATACTAAGTAAATTAGTGCTTAGAAGTTGGAAATGTTTTGTGGTTAAAAAGCATGCCCTTAAATTGTAAATTTTGCGAAGAGTTCAGCAGAATGGATTCTTTCTTGAACGCGTACTTTCTGTTTGTGAAAATGTCTGTGTCAACCTCATCAAACCTTTTGTTTGCCTACAGTTTTGGTTGATAACAAATCTACGCTCAAATTGTTTTTTCTTTTTTTTTTTTAATTTTTTTTTGTTCAGCTGTGGAGCTACTGAAGAAGGAACAAGTCGACGGACTTATAATAGGGCCACAAGAATCAACACAAGAAACATTCTTTGCAGAGGTCGCCCAAAAAACCCGTGTCCCCACAATATCCTTCACCTCCACTTTACCCAACAACAATTACTTTTTCCGTACAACACCGGACGATGCCATTCAAGCCCAAGCCCTTGCCGCCATTATCCGCGGATTCGAATGGCCCGAAATCGCCGTTATATACGAAGACACGCAAAACGGCGATCGGTTTCTCTCCCATCTCAACAGGGTCCTCCAAGAGTCCGAAATCCGGCAGGCTTACTCTGTCCCGGTCGCCACCTCAGCCGACAACAGCCGTATCCTGAGAGAGCTCAACCGGTTCGGGACAAGGCAGACTCGGGTGTTCTTGGTGCACATGGGCCCGTCCCTCGGCCACCGATTTTTCGACCTTGCCAAACGTGCCGGGCTCATGAGCCCGGGTTACGCGTGGCTCGTCACCTACAGCCTGTCCGTCTTCTTGGGTTCCGCGGGCCCTGCGGCCCGCGACTCGATGGAAGGGGTCCTCGGCGTGCGACCCCACGTCCCCACAAAGGAACCATTCAACGTTTACGGTTTGTGGGCTTACGACGTGGTGACAGCGCTGGCAATGGCGGCTGACAGGGCCGTATTGTCGGTAAATTCGTCTCGGAATTCCAGTTTGGGCCCCCGAATACTCGACCAGCTGTCGAGCGTAGAATTTCCAGGCTCGAGTGGAGATTTCCGGTTCGTAGACAGGAAGTTGAGGCCGTCGCCAGTCGAGGTGTTTAACGTGATCGGGACAGGAGACAAAACGGTCGGGTATTGGACGCCAAACAGAGGATTAGTACGGGAGTTGAGCTCGTCTGGCGAAACTAATGAACTGAAAAGCATCGTGTGGCCGGGAGATTCCGTCACGCGTCCCAAGGGTTGGGCTATACCGAAGCTCAGGGTCGGAATACCTTGTAAGCTTGGATTCATGGAATTTGTCAATGTGACCGTTGACCGTAAAACGAATAGTACGAACGCGACTGGATTTTCGGTCGACATTTTCCAAGCCGCGCTGGATCTGCTCCCGTTCGAGATCGATTACAATTTTTCTTACTATAACGACACGGGGCACGTGAATTGGACTTACGACGACATGCTGAGTAAGATACCTCAGGTGATTAATTCTATCTTCTCATTAAATGATGTTTCAAGTTTCAACAGCTAGCTTACCTTTTAGTCAGATTGCATATTATTTTATTTTATTATTTTATTTTTTGGAAAAAAAAGGAATTCGATATGGTAGTTGGGGATACAACGATTTGGGCTCCAAGAGCAAACTATGTCGATTTTTCGCTCCCGTATTCTGAATCGGGAGTCACCCTAGTCGTTAAAAACCGAAAGCCATTTGACATGTGGATTTTCGTAAGGCCCCTGAGGTGGGACCTTTGGCTGGCGATCATTTCAGCTTGCATTTTTATGGGAATTGTTCTCCGTATATTGGAAAGCCGTGCGACAGGGGACGACTCGGGTTCCTTAAGAATGAACAAGAATCGACTCGGGATGATTCATTTGTCTCCGATGGCCGTTCTAGCTTTTCCCGAAAGTAAACATTTGAACAAAAGTCTTGTCTTTGTTTTTCTTTTTTTTTTTTCC